TAAAGAAATTCTTAATAAACTCTATAGCAAATAGAATTTCAATAACTAATAATCAAACCATTGATGTCAACTCAAATTTTGCATAATTTTTTAAGTCTTAGTTTGAAAGATGAAATCAATTGTACTTACCAATTGAGAGAAAAAAAAGATAATCCAATTGGGTATTAAGAAGCTTCCTACTCTAATCTAAATGCTAAACTTCCAGTGCCAATATCACCTCTTTGAGATTTTCAATTGCTTCCAAATTTTATTTAAAATGTTGAAAATTGAGTCTAGTATCCATATAAAAAAAAATTAATTCAATCCAATTGATATATTTCTAGAGATCTTAAAAATACTCATTAACCTTCAAACTCCAATTTTTGAGATTTCAATCTATAAAATCCTTCATATACTTTAATCTACCTATTTGATTGATTTCAAAATTTACATACACATCAAAATCTAAAATACCAACATATTACTCAAAATCCATTTGTATATATACCATAAAACTTAAGAAACCCTCAAATTTATAAACGTATTTTTATTTTTTAAAATCTAAACCAACCAAGAATATCATTAAATTTAAAAATTCCTCAATAATTCAATACATCTTTCTGTTAGGCTCTTCTATAATAATATCCATATTTTTATTTTTCATCATATAATTATATTACCATATGACATTATAAAAAAATACAATAAACATATGAGCAATAGATGCAAGAAGTAAAGAATGTTGCTTAATCAAATATAAAGAAGCAAATACTTATGCAAGTTGCCATATTCCACACTTAATTATTGTCTAAGAAACAATCCACAATCATATTTTTTTATTATAATAATTTCAATGCGGACATTGTCAAACTTATAAAATTTGTAAATAATATTAAATATTCTATAGAGGCAAATAAAATATGCATAATACAATTATTTACAATTAAAGAGGTCTTAAAAAAATTCTTATTGAATATAAAAAATAAAACAATAAAACTTCTAACTTTAAAAATAAGGATTAATAAACAATAATATATTATAGATATGCATCTTTTTACTATAAGCCAATTGCAAGAATCTCATAAAGGTATTAAAATTGTATTAGAAACTATCCAAATAATAATTGCAACTTATAATGTTGCCATTTGCATGACTCATTAATAGATTGTGGTATAAAAAACTATAAAAAAATAACCATAAAGCACAAATAATGCATTGTTCAATTCTAATGTTAATTTGTATTATAAAAAATTTCAAGTTAAAAAAAAAGAGGAAGATGACTACTAAAGATTTAAAATAAGGTATCAAATAATTAAAATAAGAATATTATTGTAATTATCATTTTATTTATTCTTTAAATACCTACCTAGAATAAATCTATAAAGGAAAATTTGAACATGGAGAAAGACTATTTGCATGAGTTTATACAATAGAATCACACGATTAACTATCTTTTGATTTACTAAAAATGTCCAAGAATGCTACAATACCTTCCACATTCCATCAATTTTTCTTCTAATAAATAAAATATTACAATTGATAATCCCATCTTATGCATTCACTGTCTCTTCTCCTCTCCAAACTTATGACAATAATATGTAATATTATACTATCTTAAAAGACTGCATAAAACATTTCATAATCCAATCACTGGAATTCTCCAAAACTAACTATCATTCCTAGTAATCTGCTTTACACAATTTTAGACATAGACTTCTTCAATTTTAAACTTTCCAATTTTTCACTTATAATTAAACACACAATAAATTTAATTTATTATTTGACATCATTTAAATCAAATCTTTCTTTTATTATAAAATTTTACTTCACATTATTCAAAATCTATCCATTATCTTTTTTCTATAAAGAAAATAAAAACAAAAGGTAGTATCAAGCTTACCCCGGCTCATGACTATCATAGTTTGGCCTTGTCTACTTCTTCAACTGACTTATATTTATCCAAAAACAAAGATTTCAACCAATATTTCTTACTTAACCACTTTTTTCAACTAAATCATTCATACTACTTCCTAAATTGATTGCCCTATGGATGATCAATCAATTTTATCAATATCTAATGAATATCTTACAAAAGCCAATTTTTATCCATTCTTCATAGCTCTGCTCCTAACTGTATAGCATCCTTGCAAACAAAAAATTGATTAAAAAAAAAAAAAAAAAAAAAAAAAAAAAACTTCTTTAATAAAACCTTTACAAAGTTTCTATCTCTTTGGCTCACTAGATTGATCAATCACAACATTCTCCATAGATGGTTCCCCTGATTTTGATTCTAATGATTCTAAAAGTTATTTTTTAATTAAATGATTATCTAATAAATTTAATTTTGATATACATATATAATTAAAAAAAATTAATAATGTGACTAAATTTATTTATTTATTTCACTCATTAAAAAAAATTAAAAATTATTATTTACAACAATACCAAATAAAACTTGAAATCTTAATAATAAACAAAGAAATATTATTTAATCTTTTATAAATAATCTTATTTGATTCCACTTATTTTTATCTACATGCATGAATATATAAATAATACTAAATTATAATGATATTATTTAAAAACTAAATAAAGTATAATATAAAAATAGGATGTTACTAATGCATTATAGTTATTACTACTACCATCATGCCTCCCTACCTATTTAATATGTTTTTTTAGATTTCTTTTTTTTCAATAATTTTTTTTGTTAATATCTCCAATATGTTTTATTTTTTAAATTATATTGAAAGGAAATTTAATTTTAATTGAAAATATAATTAAATAATTAATAAGAATAAATTTTAGTGACAATAGCAAAAACTATGCCATCATTGGAAGTCCTTAAAACATTATTTTGAGTTTGTAATCAAATTTAAACATTTATTTTTGGATTTTTCAATGCTCAATATTTTTTTGAAAAAGTTGTATAATTCATATTTACAACTTAATGTGATGATAATTATACATTTGAGTGCATTTGCATAATAGGCGAGTGCATGTATGTTAAACTTAGAGTGATTAGAGAGTAATATTTGAAATATCAGAGTTAACAATACCATTTTTCCTACCTAAAAGATATTTATTTAAATTCTCATCTTAAATTTAATCCCTGTCATCTGAATACTATACTTACAACTTAGTTAAATCAAACTTGAATGGATGGATGGATGGATATATATATACTCTGTGTTAAAAACATTGTGGTATATTTGAAACATGTGATGAAATTCTAAAAGAAACTTACAATAGATAAGTATGTGAATTTATAAAACCGATTGAGTTACACAATTTAAAAATTATGAATTCAGTAACAATCTTCACAATCCATTTTTCATTCAATTATGCTTATCCAATCTAAATATCCAAAAGAAATGAAAAGAAATAAAAATAATTCAAAATTACATCAAATAAATAAATAAATTGGTAGCTAAATTATCTACCACCCAACGGTTCACCGTATGATGAAATTATATGCTTCTCGTCATATTGCCATATAAACAATTCCTTTGTATCTCCGATTGTATTTCCTCACGGCTATGCGGTCTGCAGATGTGGCGAGGCACTCAAGCCTGTGGACCAGGAAAGCGTCAGCCATGAATTCATGGCGTAAAGGCCCAAAACACGGCGTCCACATAAACATGTCGATTCCAATAGGTTGATATCCGCGAGGCGACTCCCTGGTCAATGGCCGTGTTGACCGGTGTTGCTGGGGATGGCAACCAGACGTCACCAAAAAGCTTATGCCCGTTGGCTGTACATGCGACGAATTCGGGCAGTTTAGGCTCAAGAAAAGCTCCTTTTCCTTTTTGCCCTAATTTACTTTTACTATTGATGGTTGTTGGTTTATTTATTTGTTTAATTTCCTCTTCTTCCTTTTTCATTTTATGTTTGAAAATTCAATTCAACGATGTGGTCCAAGTTTAAGGTTCAATCGCTGTCTATGTTTTGCTGTCTATGTTTTGCTGTCTATGTTTTGCTTGTCTGGAAGTTTTTGAACATTCATCTCGAGAAATATAGGCTTGACTTTGCATTCAAATGGGCAATGTTTATCAAGCCTTCTTGTTAATTGTTGACATTTGATGGATTCCAACTTTTTACAATGTTTTTGTTGTAGAAACTACATGAAATACTTTTCAATTGCTAGTGTATTAATTGATTGGTGGTTGATGGTTATGTTGGTTAGGAACAACACTGTACTCAAACACGCGTAACAATTATAATAATAGTATCCATCATAAAACCCTGCCAAATAACAACAAAAGGATCATCGAACCTGCATAAAGTTTGCAAAAATAGAAAAGTTCCATCCATGTATACATCCATAAAATTGGATGAAGATATGTGCCGATTCAGATTGACATCCACGATCTGTACTCTCCTTCCTTTTTTCCTCCACAAGCTTTTTCCCGACTTTTTTCTCTTTATTTCCATCCATCTTTCGATGAGAAACGTCAACCATGTGACCACATTCTCATCCACGAATCTCATTCAGGAGGCTATTACTGTCAGTCTATTACTCTTCGATGGACACGGCTCTGTGGCCTATTGCCAAGCATGATCTTCACATGCTACCTGGCTCCGTGTGGCGACAAATGTCATTGTCGGGAATTCATGCTTCTAACACTAGCGGAGATTTGAGCTTGGGAACTGCTCGGTTACTGTACGGCTGTCATGACAAGTGTTGAGAATGTTTTAGAGAGAGTATCCAGAAGTAATATGCACACATATGTAAACACACCCAAAAAGAGAGTTTATTGATAGGGTTAGGTTTCTGATAGGGTTATTGATAGGAGAAGATAAACAGTTTCTCCCCACTACATTTGAAACTTTATAGCTACAGTGAAGAGTGCCGGCTACATTTAATGCTCTCAACAAGAAGCAAACAAACAATGTCGCTGCAAGCTTCACGAGCGGGTGGCGTAAAGTAATTGAGTGGATTCTTGTTGGGTGGATAATAATCCTGTAGGGATATTCCTGTTGCTGGCAGCTCGCTCAGCGCTTCCGAAGTTCCGTTCAGTTGGTTCGTGCAGCATGCGTAGCCGAAAAAGGGTTAATTTCTGCACTACTCAGCTCCTGACAAACTTTTCCCAATTTGACTTCAGTCAAGATCAGTAACCAAAAAATTCAACTTCCTCAGATGGGTGAGCTCTCGCGGGCATGACGTTGACTATATGCACCTCGTCGCAATTTGGATCCAAGACCGGCTTTGAACTTCTGTCGCAGCTGGCCACGAGAGGACATCTCCTAGTGCCAAACTTCAACTTAAGGAGAATAGATTCTTAGGCTTTACTCTGAGTTGGTTAGAGAAGTCACAACACGCCTTAAAAAGTCTACGAAGCCGCTGCAGTATTAGGGCGGAGGAACCTCTACTGGATGCAGTGAAGGTCAAATCAGGATTTCGAAGAAGGTGAAGTTGTTTTGACACTGCGCCGGTTGAGGGGTTTATAATGTTTGGATGTGAGCCGCGGTGACGAACAAATTGTGCGCAGCTATATCGGTTCGCCGTCATGAAATTGTCCTAGTGAGATTTAGTTTTCCTTGAGGTGAGAGCAGTTTCGCATCTACGGATATTGCAAACTACTTGCATAATTTTCTTTTCGGCGTTGAGCTCGAAGTGATGCAGGGGAGTCTAGTGGTCAATTATTTGTCGAGGACCGATCGGTTGCCCGAAAGTTTCCCTGTAGGGATCTGGTCCGGAACTGGTTGGCAAGGTGACGGAGTGACCAAGTAGTCAAGGTGTTCAGCACCGTCAAGTTTTGCAGGTTTTCCCACTCCTGCAGCGGTTTTCTCGAAGTCGCGATCATCAGATTTGGCTCCGACGTTCACAGGTTCATCACTCAGGGAGTCCTTTGCAGAGACTGGTGAATAGCACACCAAGAAAATGGCGGTGGGGGACCCCAGTGAGAGGACCCTCGAATACACGCCCACTTGGGCTTTGGCGACAGTGAGCGCCGTCTTCATTATTGTCTCCGTAATTGTGAAGCGCGGTCTGCACGCACTGGGCCATGTAAGTTGTTTCGGAAGACCTAACAGTAGAATGACTTCAGAGGATTGCACTTGTACACTAACAGTATGTTTCGTGAGGAACCTTGGAGTTTCGAACGAAAATCTTTGGAACCTACGTCATGCGATGGTAATATGAAGAACTGTATAACTGAGGAGAAACCCATGAAACTTACTATCTGAGAAATTTCTACGAGTTAATGTTCAATTCAATTCTAAACTTCTCCCTCGCAGTCCTAATATTGAACTGTAGTTGACATTTATCATGAATTGCCTGGTTGCAGTATCTTCATCGGACTGAGAAAAAGCCACTGCTACTGGCCTTAAATAAAATGAAAGATGGTGAGCCCCAGTGAAAATTTGTTGATAGGTCTCTGAAATCATAAGATGTTTTAAGCTCAACAGTAAAATATTCAAATGTTTTGAGCAGATTTCTGGATATTTCTGCAAGTTCTCAGCTCATGAGCGGAGAACATGACCTAATTTATAAGCTTTACATGCAGTGATACCAATAGGGTTGGTTGGCTAGTTTTATTGCAAAACCTTGGGGGATGGAGAAATTAGTGCACTTTATGAGGTAGACTGCTGATGGGCGAATCATGTGAATCGCAATGCAGAGCTAATGTTGGTGGGATTCATCTCCTTGGCAATCGGTATATTCACGACTCCTGTTTCCAAGATCTGTATTAAATCTACTGTATATGTAAAATCTAACTGGAATCCCTGTGTCGGTAGCTCGATGCCTAAAGCGGAGGACGTATCTTCCTCGTACCCTCCTCCCGGGGAAGGGCGTCGCAAACTTCTTGCTACTCCGACCACGTCTTACTGTGATGAGGTATTTTCAAAATCTGTGATCGTGCTGTAGGTATAGTGGGTGTTTGTGCGCGGAGAGATGGATTCAATTTTCCACGTAGCCAGCAGATTTCTGACTTCTTCAATGGAGCTACTGCTGCATATCCCGTTTCCGATTGTCTCTAAATCTGCAGATGCTGGTGCCACATTCACGTAGGATAGAGCGAAGACGTGCAACTTCACCGACAGCCACAAATGTTTGGCCACAATTTTTTCTAAATTTGGATTCTGATTTGATTGTGGTACGACTTTTTGTAACTTGTAACTGATATCATATTTGCAGGGCTACGAGCCATTCGTGTCGTACTATATCCTCCATCAGCTGCACATTTTCATCTTCGTCCTGGCTGCGTCTCACGTAGTCTATTCTTGTCTCACCGTGGTGCTTGCCCTTTATAAGGTACATTTTCATTATTTTCAACCCAGATTGATGTCATCTTCTTTGTTTGAGTGCTTAGGTTAGCGTGGTTTTTTACGTATCGCGGTAGAGATCCAACAGTGGTGAAATGGTTGATTTTAGGTGTATTCCTGGGGGAAATGGGAAAAGGAAGCTCACGATGCGCATGCCCAAGAAAAGTCGCAAGGTGATCATGCTTCCTGCATTGGTTGTAACTATAGGTGATTTCTACTTCCAGTGATCAGCGTCTGCTGTGCTTACATTTATCCGTTGGTGATTACTGAAGTTAGACATTACCTCCATCTAACTAAGCTACAGTAGCTAACATGCAGAGTTTACGAGCAGTATCAGCATGGCACGACAATCAACTTTTGTGAAGTATCATGGAAATAAACCTCTGGGCATGCAAATCCTTGTGTGGGTGGTGAGTCTTTCAGACAATATCTCAACTGTTAAAGATGACTGACGACGAAACAGGCGAACTTCTTTCGTATTCTGTATTGAAACTCAGCAGTCAGTATCGATCTGGATGTCAGGACGAACTGGCTTAAGAAATCAATTTGTGATCCCGAGCTGCATGAACATCTATGGATTGTCTATTAAAATTTCCCACGGTTACCAATTGGGCTAACTTGTTTACAATACCTACTGTCTCGCAACTACAGAGTTGCTTTTTCAAGCAGTTTCATGTCCCAAGAGCGGACTACCTCACCCTGCGCTTGGCCTTTGTCACAGTAAGTACATTCTACCGATCAAAATCATATTCTTGGTGTTTCTTTTATGGCGTGAACTTGTTACAAAAAATGAAATTAAAACAAAGAAATAAATGAAACTTCTGTAATGACAATTCTACTGAGAAAACTGACGGAGGAGAACGTTTGTCTGTGGTTGCAGACTCATAACTTGAGGGACAACTACGACTTTCATTCGTACATGATTCGGTGTATGGAGGACGAATTTGAAACATTAGTAGGAATCAGGTACGACGGATGGATGCTATGCGCACGAACCAAATCATAATTCTGTGATTGTATTCAGACTTCTAGTGGAATGATTTCGGGGGTTGGTTATGTCCACTTATCTGGAGACTGACAAGATTTTTTTTTTTTTTTTTTTTTTTTTTTTTTGTAACAGCATCTGGCTATGGGCATGCGTCGTATTGTTTCTCTTATTCAGGATGGGAGGTTAGTCATGCATTTCTCATCCTTAAACCCTTCGCAAATAACTATCTCTGAACCTATGCTTCCATTTTTGGTCTAAGATGGTGAATTTATGAAAAATGCATTACCATGCTTCTATATTTATTGTATCCTTTTTTTCTTTTTTTCTTTTTTCCGGTTCAATTACTGCAGCAAGCACAAGTTCTTACACAATCCACTTGCAGAATCTTAAGACCTAATTTTATTTTGGATGGCATGCAGAAACAATCATCCAGGCCTGGACCTCATCCATTCCCGTTGTGGTAAGTATAATATTCCATTGAAATTCTGAACCCTAATTCTGAGTTTGCTGAGAACAGACTTTGAACAATCTTACTGTTTCGATAAACTTAATTATGTGCTGTCGCATTTTCAAACCCATAAGCCTGCACAAATCGGTTGAACCTTAATTCTGGTCCCGAAGAATGTTCAGTACTACGGCAAATTTGTTAACCACTACGGTATGCTCAACAGATCATTTTACTTATCGGAACTAAGCTGCAGCACATCATGGCAACACTAGCACTGGACCACAAGGGTGTAAATGGGTCATTAGTAGGAGTGTTGTTGAAACCCCGCGACCAGCTGTTCTGGTTCAACCGTCCCAAGTTTCTACTGTGTGCCATCCACTTCGTTCTCTTCCAGGTGAGATTTGAATGAATCCTTGATTCGAGCAGTAGTGGCCAAGCACACTAATGTAGCTTTATTTTGGAAATGTCTACACGCTCTAAATTTTAGCCTCAACTCAAGAGACGAGTTGAAAAGACAGAATTTCTTGTTGCCGCTTTTCCACGTGGTAAAATACCAACTCAAACATGTTAGCCATCTCTGATGATCCTAACTTGTGTGCGAAGCAATGGGTGCTACTCACGATGCGCTGATCCATTCATTTTAAATGATTGCAGTCTGCGTTTGAGATGGCGATCTTCATTTGGTATCTGGTAAGCCTTAAAAGCACCCATTAAGACAAATCTATGTGCTAGTGTGGCAGATGTGTGTTATGTTCATCAAAATTAAGAACAGATTGATTTGAGCGAGAGTCTCTGGTTGTTACAAATATCTTGTAATTTCTGCTGCTACTGCTGCTGCTTCTTAGAAAGGAAACTTTTTTTTTTTTTTTTTTTTTTTTTTTTTCCTTCTTCTGTTAGATTGGAGCTGAACCCTTTAGTGTAATGTGCGAAATGAATTGCAGTGGCAGGTAAAATCAGACTCGTGTTTGTGGGAGGACAAAAAGACTTACCTTTTCGTCCGTTGCGGCATCAGGTATGGTTACGCAACTTGGCTTGGCCAACTCGGAACCTCTTTTAAATTCAAGCTCATTCAATCACTCTCCCCAACGTTCAGCTCTTCAAGTGCAGTGAATTGAACCTTGAAGTGATGCCTTTTGCAAGTGCAGCATTGGAACGCAAATACTCTGTAGCTTCACGACATTGCCGCTCTTCGCCCTAGTCTCCCAGATGAGCACCATACCAAAGAAGGCCTTCCTTCCCAAACACATCGACAAGTCTATGCGGAAATGGCACAATGACGCCAAGCTTCGACTAAAAGTCAAAGTCATTGAGAACTACAAGCGTAAGAGAGGGATGGGCAAGTCGCTAATCACTCCTTTAGATTTACAGATGGTAAATTCTCAATTCTTAAACGACAGGAGTGCAACTCCTATAAACACGCCAATTGTCTTAAGTATGGAAGAAGGACCGTCTTATCCTTCGAGGTAAATCCACACAACCACCCTTCCTGTGCAATAATCTAAACCTTCCATCCTTCATGTGACACAGGATATTGACAAAAGCTAACATATGCTTTGTGGATTCAATCTGTTGCAGACCATCTTCATCGAATGCAGGCAGCCTGCCGCCCAAGTCTCCATTAAATACGAGACACGAATCGTATCATGCCAAGGTGACCGATGAGAAGACTGTGATAAATGAAGATCAGAGAGAAGCTGTGAACGAATATGCTCACCTCCTGAAGCCTCCCGTCTCCTTCGCAGAGTTTAGAAGGAAATTATCTCTCAGTCGTAGACCAGGCTTGACTCCCCGCACTCCTCCCTCTCAACCTCGGGACACTGACGAGGTGCCCAACCCGTTGAAACATATCAAGCGAAGCCACACATCACATTGGTAAAACTAGATTGGCGTCTCGTCTGTTGAGCTATTCTGTAACATATAAAACTAGCATCCGATTAATCCGATTCTTTAGGCTTCCAGGTAGAATACTTATACTCGAGAACTGGATCCGGAATGCCGTATGGTCCCGGTTACACAACATTTCTCTCCGGTGCGAGTATCACATGTAGAGTTATCCGGCCAAACATGCACTTTCAGAGTTTCAAATATACCGATGAACCGGAATTGTGTTTTTAAGACGAAGGTTCATTGTGTCAATTCGTTAGCCAGTGGTTGGTGTGTTCCTTCATACATCAGCACTTCAAGAACCGTGCAAAGAAAAAGGCTGGAAGGTGAAAATTTGGTATGAATCCTGAAATGTTGAGTGTGGAGATGTTTACGGACATTCTGAGTAGGTAGAGAAGTCCTTCCCACATGATCAATCTGATGGAAGTTTGAATATGAGTTTGTGGGAGGCAGTACTTCCTGCACTGTTGTGGGTGGCCACAACCGCCAACTCCAGTGTTTTTGCATTTTTGGAATATTTTTGTCTATCATTTCTCACATGAGAATGAAGACCACTACTTTCCCCTATCACTCGGGAAAAGGTCGAGGAAAGTACTGATTCCAACAAAGGTGGGTCGGACCCATTTCTGGGCATGAAAATCTTCACTTCAATGGCAATTTTCAACTATAAATCAAATGAAATAATGACCATTAAACCAAATAGCATGACTATTGTATTACTACATGCACAAAGTTGGTTTCCGTGCATGCTTCGGATGATAAAAGCATGGTATGTCAATTCGACTTGCAAAAAAACAAACAGTGGCACAATAAAAAAAATAAAAAAATAAAAAAATAAAAAATGGGCTATAAAGTCGGTGATTCTTCATGCCATCCCCGCCACTTAAAACAAACTTGCCCATGGTAGAACATCAAAGAGACTACAAAACTAACCGATCTAGGTTTGCGGAGCACTAACTACAGCAGATCACATGCACACGAGATGCCACTCCGGAACGGCATCGCAAAATCAGCGTGCTCGGGCAGCCCCGCAAGCATCAAAAGCCTTCAACCACCGCAAGTTGAGTGCCACAGAAGAGCAAGAGCCTTTTGACCCCAATATAGCAGTACCACACAATCACTGAGTCAAAACACCTCGATGATAGTGCAACCAATGGAGGAAGAAACAAGGCGTTGAAGTGCCTGAGTGGAGGCGGCTTCGTCTGCTTTAGAACCCTTTTTGTGATCCCGCTTTGAGGGTTTTGGCACACTCTGCCAAATGCAGGGCGTTTGGAAACACTAAGCTACAGGGGGGTGACAAAGCCCCTAAGGAAAATGGTACCAACGCCATTTAGCTGGCTTCCTTGATTGCTTTGTCATCTCGAGGCAGTTCACCTCATTGCTGCATTTGAACCTGACATCTCGGGGTCCGCGCGGCGCTTCTAGATGGCTTCCGAAAGAGCTCGATATGGTACGTGAATCAACAACATCGACAACAACAACCGAGCTTAAGGTGGGCAGTATATACAATTGTCGCTTTGCATCTAGATTTGTGCCTTCTGGTGTCCGGTCTGACAGGGGATTCGATTGTGATGACCACGAGATCGAGGAGAGAGGAAAAGGGGCTTCGCATGGTTTAAAGTGGTTGGAAAGCTTGCAAACTTGATCACAGTGTGTCAAGGGAAAGAGCACAAAACTGCGAGGATTATCAGCTTTGTCGGAGAATAATGCATTGTTCGACGAGCTGTAACAGCAACGACCGCAACAGGACTGGACTCACTGTTGTGTTGGTTTAGAATGATGTGGAATCCCAATTGTTGGAAATTCTGTTGTTCTTCCATTCTAGACACTGTTTTGATGCACCCATGTGGCCGAATTCCTCTTCACTTTTCTTACAGTTCCTTCTCTCATTCTCTGCTCCCAAGTATGCTAAAAAACTAGCACAGAAACTCACATTAAAGATATGAATGTATATATATATATATATATATATATGAGTTTCAACATAGCACCCACTAAGGAGATGAGTAGTGATTCGTAACAAATACATGTTTGAGTGGTGAGCTTCAAGTCAGTGGAGTATTACTTTTTGAGTATTTTACTTCCGACTCTCAAAAGTCGGTAAAACATGCAAGTGACCTTTTCGAATATTTTTACAGCTCTTGAAGTTAAAGATTGTGACTTTTGAGAGTGTGAAAGAACAGACCATGTGGTAAAAAAAAAATTAATCTATTTATATTTTGTTTTTATTTTCAGAAATTAATATTGACATGTCGTGGGAATCAGATTCGCTGCTTTGTGAAAGTCGTTACCTCCAATTATTGCATGCAAGAAATAAATGTGGGGATAGGAATTTCTGAGAAAATGCATTTTATGAGCATTCACAAATGTGATGGTGAAAATAGAAAACTTTGCACTGCAAAATGTGAGATTTCGTACTGAAGGTTTTTATCAAAAAGATGATTTTGTGGTTGCAGAGTGAGATATCTAGTATACTCAACAGTTTTTTCTTATAGGACATGTATCTTTGAATATATGACAACACTGTTTTTTATATTCATACTATTTTTTAGCTTGCAAAATAAATCACTGTTCAATAGTTTTGCAATTCATTTTCTTTCAAATATTGAAGATGGGTTTGTTAGACACATTGGCTGCTATTTGAAAGGTGCATTTAGATTTATTAATTTAATCTTAATTGTATGTTTCCATTTTTTCCCATGGTCAATGATGCAAGCGAAGTGCTTGAAACTTTCAAAATATTCATTGGACACCAAAGCTAAGCTCCCAATCTCACATCTTTTATCTGACATCATCGTGCCACTTGGCTTTAAACTCCCCATGTTCCCTTCTATGTACCTTTCAAAAAGTGAGTGATACAAAACAATAGTCAAACCTTCACAAGTTTATTACTTTGCTACTAAGTTAATATACTCTCCAAAACATATAAAAGTAAAAATAAAAATCATGTAAAGACAGTACTATATTAATTGCATTCACAAAGGTACAAGTTATAGATTGTTGATACACGGACCTTTGGAGATTTTCTGAAAAAAGTTATGAAATTCACAAAATTTACAATGTCATGCACTATAAACACATATCAAAGAATGGTATGGTATTTGGATATGGATGTCATTGCAACTTGTTCATGTCAAACCATGGTTTTATTAAAAATTATTAAAGTTGTAAATGCAATTGATATAGTACGTTATTACTATAATAATGGTTTTGTACTAAAAATTATTAAAGTTGGGGTTTATTAAATGAAATACAATGATGTACTTTGATGGGGTTGTTGTGGGATTGATGCATGAATGTGAGTATTTGTCAACGTTGTTTTTTCATTATATGCTCATAAATGAACTTGCTAATGGAGGCTTTCAATAACCAGACATTGAAGAAGTCATAGCACACTTCTGTTTGTTCATTGATGTTTTATATGGAAAACATTATAAAAGTTGCAGCAGAAATACATCTTTTTGATGTGAGTATTTTTTTAAAAAAGGAGGTAAATACTGAATATTCACTGTTGAAAATTTCATAAAAAGTATGAACATGTTTGCATAATTTCTCAAATAGCATCTTTCTGAGCCCACAAATACTGTACAAATTCATTTTGTTTTATGATTTTCTGTAAAACTCTTGAACACTAAGTAATATTATTGTTATTATTTAAATCCTAAAATATTAAAATTCTCTTATATGTATATATATCAACATCAACATTTTCTTAATTATTATAATTTTGTTTTTTGATATTTTTTACTAGGATCACATTATAATATTTTTGTATATTTTTGTATATTTTGTAGTTCAGTTGCTATTTTAATAAAAAAATAATAACTATTATGTACCATCATTATGTGGTATATGTATCTTTTTTCACATCTTATATCACTAATTCATCAGTTATAAGTTGAATTAAAATTTCAGTAAACTATTGACTCACTTAACAATTTGAGTGCAAATTAGGCCTCTATGACACACCAACAATGCTTTCAATCAATAGACACCATTTAAAATATAAAAAAACATAAATCATTTATGTAAATAAAAAATAAAAAAATATTCTGCATTAGTTTTGAAACATCAATTGTCAAAGTTGCATATAAAACTAATAATGCTTTTAGAATGTACTAAGCTGGAATGTATTATTTAAAAGAAAAGTGTTTAGAAATCATGACTAAGTAGTGTCAAAGAAATTCATAAGCTTTGTTTACCACAAGTCAAAGTATTATAAAATATATATTAATAAATGAATTAAAAATTAAATAAAAAACTTATATTTCACATGGCAATAATTAATCTTACTAAATAGAAACACAGTGTGAAATAAAAACTGCTTTATTTTTAAAGAGATAATTCAATTAAGAATATTGTATTACATTGGCATTGCTCAATAGACAAATAATTAAAAAGGAATATTTATAAACATCATAAGTACATTGAAACTCAAAGCTAGAACTACTAATGATATTCATTTAAACCAAGTATGAAAGACAAGGAATGAGACAACTTCAAAATGATGAAAGTTGTACTTTCATGATTTCAAATTTGATTACTTCATTCTTATAATCACGTTCACTTGACTACTTTGTAAAGTATCACAAAATATTTTGAAAAACATATTACAGCTTTTATTTTTGAAGTTTGGATTGTTTTGGAATAGAACTTTAGCAATAAGAGGATTCATTTCAAAGTTGTTCTCACCACAGTTGTTACACATTTACATTATTTTCTCTTAACACTGTGATAATATTTTCAATTTGAAATTCCCTTGGTGCATCTGTCACGGACACAAAATACAGACTTGAAATCTAACAAGAAGTTCAAGAAGAAGTGGTAGAACTAGATTAAACAGATGAGTACAAGAACAACACCAGAAAGGTGAGCTAGAACTCCAAGAGATGTGTTGTCGAGACTGAAGAACTCTTCAGCCTCGACTCCTATATATACTACTGGCCTATGGTTCTAAGGAAGCGCATCAAGAAGCTTCCCAAGAACTATGAAGCTTCTCGAGCAACTACCCAAGAGCTAGGAAGCTTCTTAAGTAACTTCTTAGAATCTACTAGAATATTCTAAGAATCTTCTAGAGCCTTCTAAGGGAATCTTTAGGGAATCTTCAAAGAATCTTTAGGGAATCTTTGAAGAATATTCTAAGAGAATATTCAAGGAATCTTCTGGAAGTTTCTAGAGACTTCTTTCTAGAAGGTTCTAGAAACTTGTCTCTAGAAAGGTCTAAGGACTATGTCCCTAACATCACCTCCTCCTTTAGCTTCGAGGTCTCCGAGAAGCAATGTTATCGTCAGTCAATACCAATGCAAGAAAATGAAGATCTGTCGCATAACCTCTGCTATGAACT